AATGTTTAAGCAAAAAAGCAAAGGTAGATGAAGATTCTACTTTCAATATCCCAAACTAGATTTAAGGAAGCAGCAGCTCTATATCCTATTCTGTTTGCCAACTCACATTCCCCACACCCCTTTCCTGCCACTGGGATATAATCAAGTAAGCATTATGATTACTTTTGGTTTCAGCAAAAGCAACTTAATACTTATGTATCTTCAATTGACTCATTTTTGTTCAGCCTAGCCTCTGTAGGCATCAAACATTTTAAACTTTCAAAGAAATCTAACAGATTCTATACTGATTTTTTTTACATATTCAAAAATTACCACAATAGAAGAAATATTCAGTGATTGATGAAACACAAGTAACCAGAAATTTTCTTCTTATATGATGCTTTTGCTTCAGGGATATCCTGACTACCACTGTTTGTTTCCAAATTGCTTCTAACAGTAATTTTTTAAACCTTACCTTGTAATCCTCGACCAGGTGTGAGATACTTGGTTTGGTCAAAGGCCCTCACAACAGCTTGCCCTTTTAGGAGATTGGTAATTGAATCCACCTATGAATAGCAGAGATTTCTGACAGTTATATACTTCTCATAATGCACAATATATATTTCTAAGAGTAAATCCTGTAAAATATCTTTCATTAAAATAATTATTTTTGAAACTCCATGATGCTTGTGAAATCTATCTTTAAATAAAATATTGGAATAAACTCATACGATAACATTTACAATGACATTCTGACTATCTTAACATATATCAATACAAAATATAAATTCACCTTGCAAAAAAAAGTCAAAGATCTGAAGTTATTAGGAAAAAAAACCCCTAAAAGTTATTGGAATCCTTTACAAAGTGGTAAAAGCTCTTTATACTACCAATTTGGATTATGGCTATAATAATTTTTAAATGCAAAACACCAATATTAGCACCAAGACAATTTTGAACTTTTTAAAATTAGGAATAAGGTTAAGCAAGAAATGTCATAAAGTATTCTGAAAACCCACCCCCCCAAAGAAAACCCAAATAAAAAGCATAACTCCTGTGCATGTAACTATAACTTTCTAAGGACTGTAAAATACTTGATATTCTTGATATCCTTTAGGTTAGCTGGCTGAAGGAATCTATTTCTACTTTAAATGGCAGAAATTGACATAAAGGAGGTGGAGGGGCAGATGGAGGCCTTTCCATTCTAATTTTGAGCATTTTTACTACATCTGAAAAGGGGATTCTGGACAGCTTAGTCTGTGGAAAAAAAAAACCCACAAATGCCCCAATCATACCTGGCTGAAAAGATGCTCAAGGCAACTATGTATCTTGTCCTGTTTATCATGAGAAATGCGAACACTTAAAGGAAGTTCATCGCCTGGATGTGAAACAAAGAAAAAAAACACCCAGAACATTCATCTTATGTTTACCATTCCAAAATATTTTAATATTAGATACAATAAAAAATTTAACATAAACTCTTATTCCATATAATGGTTCTCATGTTCAAAAAACAAATTCCAAAAGATTTAATAGCTCTTAGGATGTCAGATGACTGTTCTCCTGAAACAGGTGAAAGCAGAGTGCTTCATAAAAAGGACACTTGTTAATGACTCTTTCAAATGGTGTGTTTTTCTAATGGTTGAAGAGTTGAAATAAACTGCATAATTAAAAATTAAGATTTGTTCTAATTGGATGAAGTTTTTGTTCTTAACACACACAAAATAAGATCATCTAGAATATCTACAAGATATTTACATCCATCGGTGTTTCTCCCGGTACCCTGCTCCCCATCACCCACATATGAGCCTAGCTCAGGTGCACCTGCTGTCTTAAAAGTACTGAGTTTCGGCCGGGCGCAGTGGCTCACGCCTGTAATCCTAGCTCTCTGGGAGGCCAAGGCGGGTGAATCGCTCAAGGTCAGGAGTTGGAGACCAGCCTGAGCAAGAGCGAGACCTCGTCTCTACTAAAAAATAGAAAGAAATGATCTGGACAACTAAAAATATATATAGAAAAAATTAGCCGGGCATGGTGGCGCATG